TCCCGACGCCCCGCATCCAGATCAAACGACCCCGCATGCACCACTCGAAGGTCTTCGAGTCCTAGACCAATAGATATTTCCGTACATTCCTCTTTCCTATAGTCTAACATCGCGCCCGTAAAATCTAAGCTAACGCATTCTGGTTTTTTTCATCAATTTAAAAAAGACTCATGGTGTAAAATGTAGATTTGTAATTGTATTGTTATAATAATCATAAATATATGTGTGTTCATAGTATATAATATAAACCATTCTTATATATTGCTATCATTTCTGCCAGATCCATGATGCACATATAATGATATTCTAATATGACTGAGTTTGTGTACTTTTTAGAAAAAGTAAATGATTGAGAGAGAGAGAGAGAGAGAGAGAGAAGCTAACACGAAACATATATGGAATTCCTCAAAATCTAACAATAAGTTTCAAAAATTTAAATTAATTTAAAATAATTGTTTTTATCGATATTTATATAATTACTGTATAGTTTTATCGTATATATATATATATTTTTGCTCTTACTTGCTCTAATTTCGATCTTCCTTTCAAGCATTAGAAATTTGCACGATTATCTGGACGATATATCTTTCTAAAATTATACGTATGTGAGAATAATTCGACGCAAACGTTATGCGCATCTTTGAAGACAAAATTTAAATGAAATTCAAATAGCGCACCATCTCGTGGCAAATGCAGAAACGAAGATGCGTATTTACCAACCGAAGAATCCCAATTTTGTGATAAGTGTATATATCGGCTGTTTTTCACGAGTCGCCCGAAGACGGTTTCAGTGGTAAAAAAGCAAAATTTCAGCCACTGGAATGAAAGCGATAAGATCTCTATTCTTGAAAAGAAGCGTTATATTATACTATACCGCGTCGCAGTACGTAAATTGCGTTTAAATTCGCATTTGTGATAGCCAATCAGAAGCGTGAATGGCATACTAATGACAATTTCTGATTGGCTAGGAGCTATGGGGTTTGATTTGTTGGAGAATATTAGAGCATTGTAGGTGCTTGAGGCTTGAGGTTGATATTTTACGTATCGTTCCATAAAGTTTTTTAAGTCTGCTTACTGATAGTTGAAATTCTTATCCTCTTTTTCCTGTTCCCTATTTCTTTGATTGTGCGCAGCTTCTAAGACCACAATTTGATTCATGCTCACAACGCTCACGAGCATCATTTGTCTTTGTTTAACATTTAATAAATTAGTTATTACCATTATCAGCGCGTGAATTGGATAGTGTTTTTAATGGCGCCGAAAACCTAGTAAATGGAGCGCACCTCGGAGTCCTATAATCTTATAGGGACTTTGATTATAGGGACTCTAGAGACTCTAGCAGCGACCGATAGGGTGCGCGTGAAGCGGCGAGGACACGGAAATTCACCAGCAGCAGCGCATAGCGGAGACCACCAGAATTAGCGGAGTTGTCTGTCGCCATATCCGTTACTCGGAGAAACACATTGCTAGTACCGAGCACGTGGCGTGTACTCGCCGAAAATCTGCTGCAAATTAATTTTAGGGCACGCCGAAAAGATTTTCAGGAATCTCTGAACGAAGTGCACAATCGATCGCCAATCAGTCAGATCCTCGCGAAACGTTAACAATATTGGTAAGTAAATAATTCCGGCGGGGATCTTGTCATACATGTTTTCACTCGGTTCGCTTCTATGCGGCTTCTATTCTATAACCGTCTTTCGTTACCTTCCTTTTTCCGTCTATTTATGCATATGGGCTGAGAAGTACAGAAATATAACGCACATACAAGTAACGATGGCAAAGATAGTCGTACGATTGGTGAGTAAGAATCGATGAGCGGTATGAATGTGAAAGTATATATCCGTATGTTTCAATTTTATTTCCAGCTATGTGTATATAATAGCCAATAATAGCGGATTCTTCCGCCTTCTCTCTTTCCTCTTCTTCTCCTCTTGTCTTATGATGTATACAACATGGATTGTTCATTTATTCTTTAACTATGTTTCTGGTTTTATAATTATTGGATTGTTGTATGTACATGGGTAATTTTGCTTTTTTAATTTAATTATTTCAGTTTTATATTCTATTTTATCTCAAAATCAAAATTCTCTATATTCTCTTTTTCATATAATTGTGTGATAAAAATTATAATTATTTTTCTTGATTATAACTGTGATACTTTAGGTGTTCTATATCTATATATAGACTATAAATAGGCTGTATACATATTAAACAACATGCAAGTAACAATATTTTATTTTTATAATTTGACAGCTTATATTTTTTAATATTTTTAAATTTATTTTAGTTTTTTTAATAAATTTTTTCATTGATTACCTTTTCTGATTTTATTATTATTTACTTAAGATTGTTATTCCATTGACATAAAAGTTATAATTAACAAGTCAATAAAAATACAAATCAATAAATATAAAAAAATTGTTTGATAGAAATTTGTATGTTAAGAAAAAATGTAGAATTTATTTTTGTTAGTTCATATTGTTTCATTGTATAATTATTATGTGATTCCTGTTTTCCTTTTGTATTATTTACATTATTTGTATTAATTATTTTTTTCATAAAAGCCTCTTTAATTCATCATTATTTTAGATTTTCTTAATATTTAATTTGATTTATGTCTAATGATTGTGGGTATGCATAATAGCCATTGCTAACCATAGATCTATTCTTTTTCAGTTTGAATTAGTGTAATAAATTTGAGTAAAACACACTAATCTGTTTTACTTTAATTTATTGCACCAGTTGAGAATTTTCTAAAAAAGAACAGATTACTTATTTTTTCATATTGTATGTTATAGGAAAGATTATCTCAGTGACAGATAATTGTTTAATTAAAAAATTCTGTTTTTTTTTACATTTTATAATTTAAATTATCTAGTAATGTATGTATTTAAAGCATTGTCTTTTATATTGTAATCAGATCTGGAAATGTTAAATGTGTATTCATTATTGGATAAAAATGAATTTTAAAATTTTACATGGCCTTATCTGAATGCATTTTTTATCGTCTCTACAAAAATATCTATGCATTTTGTTCTTTTCTAATTTTTTAGTATTTTTTTATTTATATTTACATTAATTTTAATGTTACAACAATATATCTTTATTTATCTTTCTCATCGAATGAAACTATATTACGTATGTACTTTGTTCTAATTTAATGTTTGTTATAGTATTTTAATTCGAACTGAATGTTAAGACTTATTTAAATATGGATTTGTTTAATTTATTAACATATTTGTGTATAAAAATTAAAAATTACACACACACACACACACACTACATGTATCGCCCCTGTAAATATGTGTGTATGCAACAAATAATTATATTTACTTAAAAAAATAAGGAAGATTGTTTCTGGATAGTTTTCTTTGTAACTATCACCTTCGTTAATATTCTTTAGTTTTTTTTTTGTTTAAATTTATAGAACTAATGTAAAGATGTACATGTGTGTGTTTTTTAGTTTGGATCATAATATGATTACAATCATTAAGACATCCAAAATATAACTTTTTTTTTTTAAAGATAATTAGAAGACTAAAAGTTGAAGTTTGAGATGTACTGTAGTTAATCAAGTTACCACAATTTCCGCCTTTCCTTTTGATACTTTTATTAAGCTTTGCTCCCGTCGGTTACCTCATTTAATTTCACGCAGCGCAGATTCAACATTCCGAGAGCACGTTGAACCAATATGCGTTGTTTGACTTATAACGCTAGCATGTTTGTTCTGAGCTGTTAATGTCCAATTTTTTAAATTCAAAAACAGCATAAGTTATCAATGCTTAAAAAAGAGATAAGTAGATTTTATTTATTAACATAATTAATATTCGTCAAACATGAAAAACGATTCTTTTTTTAAACATTCTTTTAATAACTGTGCTAAAAAAAAATTACTGCTCTCTTTTTATGACTATAGTAAAATTTTTCAACTATAATAGCTTTTTGATGAAGTTAAAAAAATACATAAAAAACGTTTTTTTTTTATCATATACTGTCTATTTAGTTATTTAACACTCTTAAGAAACTTTCGACTTGATCTTCATAAATATGCAAAACTGCTCAAGATTTCGGCTTATTTCAGAAGTTTACTTTCACTCATCAGTTTTATCGCAATTTACAACTGAATCGTATTTTGTAACTGAATCATATTGAAATTTCGATAAGTTTTTAACATATATTGCTATTATTTATCTGACAAAAAATGATTAGTAATTTCTTATAAGAATCAGTTTTATTTCGGATATTATTGTGAAGATACTACAGGTCGCAATTATATACTGAACATTTCTCTCTATTTGCGTACTTATTCGTATATATGTTTTTGTATTAATTTCATTAATTAATAGAATGTATGAAACACTTGGCCAAATTGTAAAAACATTTTTATGTGTTCGTACATTCCGTTGAATATGTGTATTAGAATTTCATGTATCGCATCGATTTAAACGCGATAATTTTTTGTTTGTTTCTATTGACCTAGCAATTATGTCAGCCGGTTCATACATATCGTTATAAGATAACAATAAAAATGTTGATAAAAATGCAACATATGTAAAATGACTATATTTTAGAGAGATTCTTTTTTAATCAAAAGATGTGAAAGAAATTTTAAAATATTTCTCAGAAATTTACTCCTATTACTTTTGCGTGGCCCTATATATTTCTCTCTCTCTCTCTCTCTCTCTCTCTCTCTCTCTCTCTCTCCCCCCTCCCTCTCTTTCTCTCTCTTTCTTTCTTTCTCTTTTACGGTGTGAATGCCATCTTACCTGATCGTACCTGCATAATCGGCGAACGGTTCCAGTCCAACTGGTCCTCGGCGTGCACCACATGTTGAAAATCTGCGAGTCGTAGTACAACTCCAGCTGGCATCGATAGTGTATTCACGTAATCAATCTTTCGATTAATTTCGACTCGTGTTGCCTCAGGCTCAATTTTAGGACATTACGTAGTGTTACTATCTACATATCCCTTGGTGATTATAATGAAATATTTCGTATATACAAGAAGAAATTCTATTTTCGCGACCAGCTGGAAATGTTTGATCTTGGATCGATCATACGTTAATGTAAGTAAACAGCACGAAATATTTTAATATCACATTTTTAATTATCACAGTTTAAAACTTTGAATTTCTAGATTTTTATGCTTTGTATCGTTATATCCATCTGTGAGATAACATCATAACGATGACATAACAAGCTCCGCTTTGTTGCTTTGATATAATCCTTCGATTACCTCTTGTTTGATATTATGAAATGTTTGACCGTTCTGCGCTATTTTTGCCATCAAATAATAGTCAAGAATTTTTTTAATCTTTTAACTCTTATATATAATTTTGAAATTTGTATGATATCGATAGATTAAAAACTATTCTTTAAATAATCTAGACATTTAAATATGTTTAGATGACTTTTCCTTAACAAATGTAGCACTTATTGTATACATTATCAGACCTATAAGAAGATCTCTTTAAGAATGAGTGTTACACTTCGTTATCGTGAATGTTTGAAAGCTAATCCTATATACTGATTTAAACAAAGTTTGTGTGACAGAGATGAGTTTATATAGAAATAGAATATTAAAAAACATTAGAAGATTATATAAAATGTATATGATCTATGAACTTTATTTTAATGTGATTAATTCTGATGGAAAGTTTATATTATAAAATTAGAACCTCTACTTCAATTCTAATGGAATTATAACATTTATTAAAATAAGGTATACCGTGAGAATTAGAATTTTCATTATGATATATGAATAAAAAAATTAATTGCCTTGCACGAAAGAAAATTTATGGAATTCCACATCGGCATACTGTCTCGTTTTACACAAACTGTTTTCGCTGATCAGCAGGTGTTTAGCATTAATCGGAATAAATTTTATTTATTATTCATAACATTAATTTTTATATAGAAGACTAAAAGTTTTTTTTTAATAATAAAATATAATTTTTAAACTATTGGTTAAAAGATTTCGGACACTTTAATATTCTGTTTCAATCCTTCGCACCATTATATATCATCTGGAATCTCTAGTAAAAAGAGAATTTTTTTTCCAACAAGAGACATTAATCCCAACAAAGCTATGCTAAAATTATTTATAGAACAACGAAGCATCTGAAGATATTGAAATTATGCAATAACTGCAATCTCCTGACTTAAACCTTATTGAATTAAGGAATGAAGTGGAGGAAACACTAACTTGTATCAGGCGCATACTTATGGGAGACAATTGAATAATTAGGAAATATTCGTAATTAATTTTTATATTAAAATAAATTAAATTTGCTTTCAGTTTATGTTGCTTTTTTACAGTATCAAATTTAAATAAACATATATATATATATATATATATATAATTGTTGAAATAATAATCATTGCTTAAGTATTCGTCAAAATAATGTTTTAAAAATCTATTGGCATCTTCTTTGATTCCAGTATCAACGAATTTTTGGTAACGGCAGCTACCGTGGATTTACACTATGAATTCTTCTATTTGCGTACCACTTATAAAGTGGACAGTTCCGGCGGTAGCTCTTGTCATCGGTCTCTTTTTGTACAAACGCCGTCGGATAGACAGAGATGAACTTCAATGGAATGACTCAGGAGGGACTGCAAAATCAAATTGTGTAGAAAAAGCAATTTCAAATGATACGCAGAAGGTTGATACTAACATTTATGATTCCGGCATCCAGAATGAGATCAATCAGGAATCCTCAAATGATGGCTGCTGTTACATGCAACAAGAAGAAGAACAAACTTGCGTTTCAAGAAAGGTCAGCGAGAGCATGAATGTTCCGTTAACAAAGTCAGCGTTGCTATCTGCTCTTTGTGATAGCGTCCAGAGTACGTATGAAGAAGACGTTGAAACAATATACAGCATGGAAGCAGAAATTGGCAGTAATAAGTCGAGTATAAGCTTATTTGAAACGATCGCCACGAACGCATTCTCCAAGTCTAACAAGAACGATAACGACGAATCGAGAATATCTCAAAACGTTGCTAATGAAGAGCAAACTGTGCATTGCGAGACAAGGTCGCCTGAACAAAATTATACGAACGAGTATAATTATAAGGAGGATGAGCAACAATCCGAAGGACACGCCATCAAAACCCAGGGACAAGAGGTTGACGAAAGGGACTCGGCCAATCATAGCCCAGTTTCCGTAGTTCTGGACGGTAGTGTCACGGACGAAGCCGGGAGCGAAGGAAGTAACACGGATAGCGGAAAAGGTGAATATATAGATCATTATTGATAAAATATTCTATTTATTTGGAGTTATTTATATTGATGAAATAGTAGAGTATCAATTCTAAGAGAAAATAGTTATTAATTAATTATTATTTTCTAGAGGTGGGTGGGATGATATCAATTTCATCCGAAATACAATTAATTTTCATTTTCTCATACAGGTGGAAGTATTAATGGATGCAGAAAAGACAACGTTGCACCATCCACATATGATTTTGCTATACCGCAACATCTAGTGGGTAGATTGATCGGCCGTCATGGTAGCTTTTTACACAATATTCGTACAAAGGCAAACGTCGGCATATATGTCAATGATCATCCTTGCGATGGTGATCATAAGATTTGCTCGATACGAGGCAGTGTTGAGGGAATTAATGTCGCGCTTAAAATGATAAGGCAAAAGTTTCCGGAGAAAAGGTTCCCGCAAGTAACATTAACAGAGATCTCAACAATATCCGAGATGAATGAAGAAGTTACATACAATGTCTTTATACAACGACCTTTGTCCCTGGTTGATGGCGTTAATAATGACATTAATATCTGTCACATCGTCAAGCCAAACTGGCTTTTTGTTCGTCTTCCGACTCATCCGTCATTTCCCCTTTTGCAAAATTTGGAAGACAGCATGCAGTATTGGTATAACACAGAATCGATACCAGTTCCAGATGTATTGAATAGTAAGCGAATAGTAAACTTAAATGCATTAAGAAAAAATAAAAGCAGGATTATGAAATACATTGTTTTGTAGAGGGTGATTATGTGGCTGTATATTGGATGGAGAATTGGGTTAGAGGATATATTGAATGCCCAGATCCATCAGGAGAGAAAAGCGTAGTGCGATTACTCGATTATGGTGGTTATTGGTCGGTTAACAATACAGAATGTAGACCATTGATATTAAATTATTTAAGCTTGCCCTTCCAAGCGATTGAAGTCTTTTTAGCAAATATTCAACCAAAAGATGGTAATTATGTGTCGATATCTATATTTTTCAGATTATGGTTTATATATCTTTATTCAAGATTATTTCGAATATATATATATATATAATCAAAAATAAAAAATTGAATTAATATATATATATACACACACACATACTTTCATATTATTTATATAGGTAAATGGTCGTCAGAAGCTTACAATGTAGTACAGAATTGTTCTTCAAAGGGAGTTGCACAAGCGCAGATTGAAGGTCGTATTCAAAGCAACACTTATGCAAATATTTATTTTATTATACAAAATTATGGGGTAAGTAGAGTTACTGTTTCAGCTCTGAAATTTTTGTTACATACGTTTTTGATATACAAATTAATTGAAATTTTTAAAGGTAATTTCACTAACTGAAGAATTGATAACAAATGGATACGCTGAAAGAGTAGTATGGGAGGACATGAAGCCAGAAACGCTTGAATCTATATGTACATGAGAGTTGTAAAAAACTCTAAAAGTTTCAGATTTCCTACTGAATTATCATACATAATCCCACAGTTCTTAGTCAGTATGGACTAGAGTTTAGTACAATCGCGTCAAAATTGATTTCGCTTTTTGACTTTGTTCTATACTTGTACTTCTTAATTCTTTATTGAAGTCTGTGAATATATTCTGACATATTTCCTAATGAATGATTATATACATAGAGAAAGTAATAACACAGTATATATCCATATATATATATATATAACATTCTAATAATGATGCATAAGCTTATATTTTGCTGTACAAAAAACAGATATTTTTGTCGCGTTTAAGTAGTATTTAGTACTCCCTTAATATTGCTCAGAAAGAATGCATTTTGTAAGCACAAAACTCGTTATTTCAAACGAGTTCTGACAAGTACAAAAAATTTAGTTCGATAACGTAAGAATCTTTTTTACAGCAACTCTTCAAATTGTATCACTCGTGATATTTTCTCTCTTTTATCTGGAAAATTGAACTTTTCATCGGTAAAGTTATTTGCAGGACAAATCTTTCAGATAATTTCATATAAATTTTCAGAAAATTGCTTTCGTTATCTAAGCGCCTTAAGACTGTCGTAAAGAAGATGCAACTGTGCTTAACTCTTCTATATCCTTGTATATATTGTAAGATAGTTTTCCGATTATAGAATATTTGTATTAGAAGAGAGAGAAACTTATAAAGATTTGCTATGATGTAGATTGTAGAGTAGAATAAATAATAACTTTGCATTTTATAAAGTAGCGTCACATCTAAACTAAAATTGTATCAAATAACTCAGACGAATTAGGAAATTCGTTTCTACGTGACTCATATTCATTTCTGATTAGAGACGATTCAAGAATCCATTGAAATAATTTCAGCTTTTCTTTTCATGTTATTTTTAGATAATTGTAGATTAAACTTGTTACTGTAAAAGTAATTGTTAAATGTCTCATTTCATTGAATGCCCATGTTATCTAATCAAATTATTTAAAGGTTGCTAATTCATGTAGAGATTGTCTTTTAAACACTATTTTTCAGTAACTTATATTCTGTGGAATTTCATTATCGTGGCATAAAATTATTTCTATTTTATGCTTGCTATTTTCTCAAGATGATTTGCAATTTTTGGCATTTCAGACAGATTAAACTTAGATTAATCCAGACGTACGCATGTATATATTTGTTTACTTAGATTCTTACGTAATATGTTAACATTAATCTTTTTCAATGCAGTAGAAACTAGTTAATTAAATAAGAGTCTATGAATGATTTGTAACTCATACATTGCGCTCAACTATAAATGTTTGACAGTTATGAAATGTTAATCTTTAATATTGTTGATTGAACGTAATATAGAAATATTTTTCTAGGAATATATATATATATATATACACACACAACATGTAAGATTAAGATTATAATCATTAAATCACAGTATACATGTTTTCTCGCGCATTGCGATTAATTCGATTTATTATAATTTATGAGCGACAATATGGCGCAAGGAACGTTACGTAATAATCAGGTGTAATTCATTTTGTGTATATAATACGTAGCTGACTGCAATTTTTGACTATTCAAATTTTGTACAACATTTCATTTAGCATTTATATTATATTAAATAACTTCTGTATATTCATTAGTATAATCTTTGAAGTTATTACACTTGTGTCAATTTTTACTACGAGTTTTCTTACACATCTTTTATACATCTTCTATAAAATCATAGAATAATAAGAACTTCTTTTTCTACAGCAAAAGAGAACAGTGTTATGCTAAGATTTAAACGATTGTTTTGTATTGTAATACAGAAATAAAGATGTTTGTAAATAGTCAAATTATATCAAAAAATTGTTTTCTCAATTTTGCTAATTTATGAAATAAACTTCAAAATTTCTCGATCGATATTGTATTTGAATATCTATGTCGATTAAACGCGGAAAAACATGAGAAGAGCTATATTTTCATTAATTTGTATTATATTTATCCTTGTTTATAATTAAAAAAAAAAATTAAATTATTTTAATCTAGTCTTCAATTCTAGTCTTGGATAAAACGTAGGATGCGTTCAGTTCGAAAGATTTAATGACTTACAGAAATCTTAAAAAAAATTAAAATATATATGTAACATTTGGAAACACGATAGTGTTTCGGCGTTAAGCCAAGCGCAGCGATAAGTATTAACATGATGTTATAATGTCATAATTGCCATAAATTACATAGAATGATCCAGCCACCGACACCACCAAACTCATAAGGTCAACAAATAGATCTTTTTACACCCTACACAACTTTTGTCTGAAACAATTTTTTATAAAACTTATATTTTTTAGATATTTTGAGGTCCGAGCTTTTTCGAACACTGTCATCGCGATGTAACGACACGCCGAACACCCTGACCCGTATTCAGAACGCACTTTTATCAATAAAAGCGCGCTTTTATCTCTGAAATTCTATAGTATACGTGACGTAAACTGTAGCATGTTAGCGCGCTAACATCGTTGTTAGCGCGTTCTGAATACGGGCCCCTGTATACATATCTATTTATATTATATATGCAGAAGTGTTTCGCTTTGTTCAAAATAAAAAAAAACAAGTATATATAAATAATTAAACATGAGACACAAAAGTAGAGGAAAGATAAAATATAGGTATATAAAGGTATTTTTTCTATTTAATGAAAAGTCGACACATCATTCTGTCTCTCACGATATTTAGAGAATAACAAAGATAGAATAGAACGGCTTGTATCATCAAATGTACAATATCCCATAATGCCTGTTAATTTGTGGATCAACTAACTTAATCTTTTTCTAGTTCTAAGAATTAGAAAGAAATAAGAATAAGTTGAACCGAGATTAAAGTTAATCTATATATTGGTAGAAAATAAACACACGTGTAGCCGAAAGACAGCGCTTACTCGTGACAGATAGCGCTGTTTGCGATTTTCGAAAATCTAGCCTCGTTTAAATGGACGCGAGAAATACTGTCCTCTCCATTTTGTTGTTTTATTAGTGACACGTGCTACGAACGTGCCGCTGGGTCGACAGCTGTTAACAGCTGACTCGGCTGTCGACAGGGAAGAGGAGAGGATAATAGCGCGTTGATGTGTCGCGTATCGTAAGACGATTTTCGGCTTCTCGGCAGAAAACGTGGCTTTCTAGTCGACCGCACTGATCCAGCGACGACGAATGTCGCGATCCGAATGCGTCTGATGCGTGTGCTCTGACATGGTCTCTCCTGGAAGTCACAAGGAGAGCCGGCACTCTCATGTACTCATGCCAGTACTCCTGAGTGCCTGCGCTATCCCGATTTCGATGCTCTTCTGGATAGTCAACGTGGCTTACTCGATATTATGGCCGGACACCGCCAACCCGACGGAAGGTTCCGTATATACACAACACACGATTTTGAATGCGTTCGTGAATAATCGAATTAGGGATTAGAATAAAGAAATATGTATAGTGCATAAATATATTGGTAGACGTGATGCTCTCTGCGTGAACGATTCCATTAGATTTGTATTATATCGTATATTTTAATACGATTTTAGGAGTGTGCAAATCTGGCTTTCAGGTTAGAAAAAGAGAGCATGGATGTCGCGTCGTGAAATAAGAAATACGATAAGTGCGGCTGATATTACAATGTTGTCATATGACCAATTTTTCTAGCGTGTTAATTGGCTGCAGGACACGAGAGGCTCTTTCTATTCTACAATGATAACCAATCAACAGACTTTAAAAATTTGTCGAGAAAAACGGACAAATCTAATATATTAGCCTATAACAAGATTCGGTACGCGATGCAACTTTCGGCCGATTTTCGATTTTTTCGAATCGGCTCCGCATATTCCGCTGTCCCCCTCACCTTAACTGCAGTGCAGTCCAAATCTCCAAATACGATTCAAAAAACGCGATCGTCGAGCGGCATTTGGACTGCGCGCGGGATGGTGAGGTGAGGAGAATAACGAAAGCCGATTCGAAAATTGGCCGAAAGTTGCATCGCGTGCCGAGTACGGCGATGCGAAACGTAAAAAGTACTTTTCCTCGATATTTTCTTGAATAAATATATCGTCTAAAAATTTTAATAAATTTTAAATAAACGTTGCATATGTGGTTTTAATAGTATAATACTTTATAATAATAATGACATTTTTTTTTAATAAAAATGTTTTATTTATGAAAAATTATATAAAAGATTTTTAATCGTTATTATAAAATTCTTGAAACTATTTAATTTTTACTTAGAACATTTTTTACATTTTTTAATGGTTTAGATATTCACTCCGATAAAAAAAACTTATTTTTTTAGAAAGAGTCTTATTCTCTTTAAGTATGAGAAAAAGCAGTTACAAAAAAAATACATGTTTTATTTTTAACGTATCTATATTTTAATATAACATTTTAACCAAAGCTTATTGAAATCGGAGACGTACTTTTTATTAAAATATTTCAAAGTTTATATGTACATAAAAAATTGTAAAAAAAATGTAGATTTTTTAACAGTTTAATTTAAAAAAAAATATTTCAATTTAAATAAAAAAATTTGAGAAATTTTCTAAAATCATACAATTTATATAAAAATTTTGAAAAGTTATGTGAAAATCCTAAAAGAATTTGTTATATATACGAGATAATTTGAAAAATCGGTCTTGATGCGATAAAGTAAATCTTTTTTGTTTTTTGGCCAGCGTTGAAATGTCATTTACAAGAATCTGTATACCCCCGAGTTGTAACTATAAATTTAAATGACTACATATAGGATTGTAGATAGTATATAAATTCACATAGAATTATTTAAAACATTTATAAGATCCGATTTCGATTGTTATAAAGACTATATCTTTTCTTTCTTGTTATTTATTTCTTATTACTTATTTATTATTTATTATAGCATTGGACTAGCTTCTTCTCCGTTATTAATTTTTATAGCTAATATCGATCTTTATTCTTTGACTGATTTTTATTTTCTTTCATATTTTCCTAGTTTAGACAAATAAATTATAAAATTTTATAAATTAAAATAATTAAAAGCTTTAGTTT